TAAAAGAGATTTCATCTATTCAACAATGGAAAAGTTCTTTGAGAATCAAAACAGTTTGGAGTCAGCTTAAACCAATTATCCAGTATAAATGCAAAGAGATAAAAAGCAGGATTGTTTTCTTCAGGACACACAGTTGAGTATTTTCTAGATATAGAATGATTTGGGCAAATAATTATAGATCTTCTAGACATTATTTGAGCAACTAGATGTATTTAAGGTGATGAAGATAAAGATGTATTTAAGGTGATAAAGAAATGAAATTCTGTTCTAATAGCACAATAAGCTACCTTTGCTTTTCAACTACATTTTCAGCCATGAAATATCAGATAATATGATTCCTAAGGAAAAGTATCATGATATTCCACAGCGCTATTACTCAGCCTTGCAATCTGATTCATTGGGATTTCAGCTTGTTTTGTCCACAGTGCTACGAGTTCTGTTCCATCTGAAAGGCATTTGCTTAACAAGTCAGGCATAATTACTTGGATATTGCTGCAAATTGGACACCTGATGTCCTCATTCTTACATATACGATATCTATGAACCCACCACAAACCCTCATTCTGTACATACTGAATAACAACGTTGTATTTGTAGCACTGTTTACAATTATAGTTTTGTTCAAATATATAACAGATCTTGGTTCTTTATTTAATTTTTATTTCTGCACATTCTCTTAAAGCAGTTTGCTACAACTCCTGGCTAAGACAACCAAAAGTGGCAACATTAAGTTTAAAATAAAAGTTGCATTTTTGTAATAGAAAAAAATGCTACTTAAAATGTAGTGGAAACAAGTCAATAGCTGCCTTCATATCTCTGTTTTATTGTCTCTGGCCCAAACAGTCCTTACAGGCTGCCAGGATGTCTATACCTGAGGAAGAACTGAGCATTTTAAATTTATAATTAGGTTTTGCTATTTATTCATTCCCCAAAAGGGGTAGATATTCTGAGACTTAAATAAATTGAGAGAACAGCAGGTGCATTCACGTCAACAGTTCTCTCCATGCAGCTGCAGCTTTCATGATTAACACTGGCATGGCTTATAAATCAAAGTTGCATTGATCTTGGATGCCACAGTACATCTATTTCATGTTACTCAAATGGGCTTCCTGCAAGGATGGAGTTGGCCCAATTGGATACCCTACTATATATAAAAGGACAAGAAAGAGTTCTTGAATATCCGTTCTAGTCTCTTTACCTGCTTCATTGCAGGTGGGTTTTTTGTCTGGAGCCATGAAAAGAAAAAGCACACAATTAAACTACGTGCCATCATCCTCTGGCTAATGCAAAGTATTCCTCCTTTTTTGTCTGAAGAAACCATTTCATTTTATCAAAAGGCTTTAATGGCATATTCTTCCAGTAATACTGGAAATGCAGCAGTAAATTGGATTGCTTAATTTTAAAAGCAAGTAGTTTAGTTTGCACATAATTACCGGAGAATGAAACTACTGAACTGAATAAGTTTTATTTCAGAATCAATGTGAATTGTGTTGTACTGTAAGAATGACAATCCATGTGAGTTTTATATTTATTGCACTTTATAACAAAATATTTCCAATTATGATGGCTTCCCATAGCTGTTGCTGGCCAGGAAAGCAAGAAGAAGGTTGGTCTGAGGCTAGAAAAGGATCTGATACTGATGGTTCTTCCTTACAACTGCACTAGTGTTCTGTACTGAGAACAATGTATGAGAGCGCAGGCAAGGCGAATTAATAATAACTTTTATTAACAACAACAGCTAACATCAGACCCGCTCAGTGCTGAGGACCTTGGAGAGCGGGGCAGCTTCTGAGGCACTGACAGTTCTTAAATATACCGAGCTGTCTGGGCCAATCAGGACATGCCCATTTCCCACCGGCAGGTAGCCATCGATCGGGCCAATCAGCTGCTCCATCCTTGTCACGTGTGTGGCCTCCAGATGCAACACACTAGTATGCCACTTTCATGGCTGTGAGGTGATACAAAATTAGGCTGGCATACTAGATGCAGCCATCAATGTTGAGTCTTATTCTGAACCAGTTTTTTAAAAAAAATCAATGAGCAACACTACTGTTTCACTTTTAATTAGGAAGATGTGAGGGAAAGCAAGTGATGTATCTCCTGCCTGTGGGGAAAAACTCTCCACAATTGGCATTCCCTGTGGGTTAAGGCTGCAATTTCTCAGCAAGAGAAATTAATACTTTCCAAAAAATTTCCACTGCTAACTCATAACCATTTAATATGACAGGTTGACTTTAATGCATGATGTCTTACTAGCAGCTGTGAAAACAAACTGACTTCATTTGTTTTGGGCAATTCTTTGGCCCAAAGTGTGTGTAGCAGGAGAGGAGGGTGAGTTATTTGTGTGTGAAATTCTTTCGTTCAATTAAGAATGTTGAAATGAAATTTGAATTCAGTCCCTTAAATTTTAAAGGAAAGAAATATTTTGCTATGTATGATAAACAGTCACTCAATAAACACATGGCAATGTCCAGAAAGACCTGGGCATCAGTTCATCTTGTAATTGAGACCACCTGCCTTTGAGCATCATAAAACTGGTGTATAAAACCATGCAGAGAGATGCTAATAATTAACTGTCCTATATTATTGTAGGTCCTCTTCTTGGGACTTGCCACAGCCGAAGTTGCTGGAAGTCTTTAAATGCTTTTTCTCATCAAGAAATAGAAAAAGAAATGGTTAGTTCTTCAGGACAACACAATGTAGGGCAAAAGATTTTTCATAGTAGTGTGGCTATCACAGGTTCAATTTCTATACATACCTATACATTCAATTCAATGGTGAAATGTAAAATTTGTTACTACCGGTTCTGTGGGTGTGGCTTGGTGGGGGGGGGGTAATATGACTGAGTGGGCATGGCCAACTTTTTTTTTTTTTACTTTTAAAACCATTTTTTCTTTTTTTTAAAAAAAGCCTCTGATGATCCTAGCTGATTTGCCTGATCGGCAGAGGCTTTCTTTCTTTTTTTTTTAAAGCCTCTGACGATCGCAGCTGACTTGCCTGATTGGCAGAGGCTTTCTTTTTTTAAAAAAACCTCTGATTATCCCAGCTGAGCCGCGCAATCATCAGAGGCTTTTTTATTTTACTTTTAAAAGCATTTTTTCGGCCAATGAGGTTGTAAAAAAAAGCCTCTGATGATTGCACGGCTCAGCTGGGCAATGGAGGGGGGCAGGGATTTTTGCTACCGGTTCTCCGAACCACCCGCCTCCATCGCTACCGGATCAGGTGATCCGATCCAAACCGGGAGCATTTCACCCCGATTCAATTTCAATCCATATTTGACCTAAAGACAAATGTTTATAAAAATACCTCATTGTGGAAAAATATTTTTGCAGTTGTAGTCAGATTTTGAATGTGAAATAGGTCATTCAAATTATGACCTTCCCACCCTGCCCCTCTCCCCTCCGTGTTGATTTTCTGTTTATATTTTGACTAGTACTTTGAAAATAAAATGCCACATTTAATAAAAGAAAAATGATGGTGAATTTAATGCAATTCATGTATAAAGCTAAGACAAGGTAGTTTAAATCACATTCTCAATTATTCTAAGTGAATAATTGGAAAGTTAAATTGGGGGAAAATTAGTCTTCCTTTGTAATAAATATAGCATCAGATATAGCTTTCTAAGCTCAAATGAAAAAAATTGAACCAGACTATGAATATGCGTGACACACACACACACACACACAGAGAGAGACTTGTTTTACATATTTGCCTTTAAAAACCTTTATTATATGTGGGCTTTGAGTACAGAATCCTCATGTGTAAGCAAATGTATTCGAAACACGTAACGTGCTTATATTTCTAAAGCAGGCTCATAAATAGCAGATTGGTCTTGCAAAGCATTTGCAGAGAGGGCTATTCAGGAGGGGAAAGTAGAATTCTAATAACCACAAAGCTCCCACATCTCATCACCTGCAAGTTTCTCTAAACACATTAAACTACTTACTGCTGAGGCAGTGGAATAGTCAAGGGCTCCCCCCCCCCCAATCCACACCATCTTTTCACAAGGGACAACTAGCTGTTGCAACTGCTTGCTAAGTGTGCTCATGGTAAGAAACCAGCAGACAAAAAGGAGAAAGGAATCTTATTTCTGTCATAGTCCCATCAGTGGGGAAAGCATCGAGACCAGAACTGGGGCTGGGGGCATATTCCAATAGAAAGCTAGAGGATGGGTTTGGCTATCTGTCAGAACCTCATCTGAGAGGGATACCATTAAAGCGCAAAAAGCTGCCCCCCACCCCACTTCTCCAGGAACCCATCTCTAGATCATGCTTGAGTGCCTGATCCATCAAGAGGTGGTGATGGACCTAAAGGTTGACAAACAGAATGCTGCAGCAGAAGTGTCATATTGAACAACTTGCCTCTCAGCCCTTTCCTCCATGGGTGACTAGGAGATTATCAGAAGTTTGTTCAGCATGAACTTTGGCTGTTGATGGGGCATGGGGTGCAAACTGGTGCAAAGGCTTCCTGATAAGGATCCTGTCTATTTGCTCCTGCCCACCTAAATCACCCACAGTGCTTGATCAACAAGAATGGGGTCACTGAGGATCAGGGGTGGGTTCTACTTACCTTTACTATCGGTTCGCAATGGGGCCGCATGTGCATGCTTACTTCACTCGCGTGCACGCACGGTCTTCTGCACAAGCGCAGAAGCTTCTGCACATGCGCAGAAGCATTTTGATGACATCAGGGTCAGTGGGCGGAGCCTCCCACCAGTTTTACTACCGGTTCTATAGAACCTGTGAACTGGGGGCAACCCACCACTGCTGAGGACGCCCATCATTCCAAGATCCCTTGCATGACTTGCTATTCTTGTTGCCATCTCTATTGATTGCATTGGGTGAAGGAATCGTCATTCAGTCATACTCACTGTACACAACCTGCTGACAAAGCTGTTGATGTTGTTGTAGATTTGGGACTGGAGGGAAAATATGATTTCAAGGGGCCCTATTTCTGTATTTATCACTGCATGAACCTCTCTCGGTCTCTACCTCCTCTAGGCCACTGGAAGGGAAGGGGGTTGTTTGCATCAATTGAAAGTGGCCAATAGGAATTGGGCAGATACCATCCACTGTCAAGTTATCTGGTTCATGGTAACCGAAGCACTCCACATCATGCAAATAGCCCGGAGAACAACTTTATTTCAAAAGCCCACAACTGGCTGGTTTCCACAGAGGTTGGGGAATGAAAGAAAGGCTGTTGTGTGAACACAGGCAACATTCAAAAGGTATTAAGAGGTGCCCAGTGTTAAGCTAAAAATATGCATCTTTAAATATGTTATGTAAATATTATGACCCTTAGCAAAAACATGTAACAGAAATGCAGGTGCATGGAATGAGAGTGTCTTTGTGTGCCTGTGTGGGTGGATGTGTCTGTGTGTATGTACATGTTATTTAAGAGTCTATATACCTATATTAATTACTGCAATATAAAAAACAAAGCATTATTTCTAGCATTGCTTCATATCATGCCTTTAAAATACATTCAAAAGAAAAAAAGGGAAATGCTTGTGTCTATATTAAGAAGAAACTATATATCATGAAATTTTCAGAATTTTTCTAGTATCTGGCCAGAGGAGTAGATGCAAATATCTGTAACACTCATATGATTTTCACATGTTCTTTTAGAAAAAGCATGTGAATATTTTGTTGGATGCAAGTTTATTTAGTAGAGAAAGAACCATATGTCAATAAATTATATTAACTATCTATATATGTGTTTATATCTTGATGTCAGCAATAATTCTCATTGGCTCTCCATTAACCTGTACAGTAGGTACATTTCTTTGCTTTCTTTGTTTATACAGAGAAACTTCATCAAACAGCCCTTAATGTAAAATAGGGAACCCTGGTGACAATTTATATGTATTCAATTGCATTTTATAAAATATTTTTTTAATGATCCTGTCTTTCTTCTTTTACCTGCAGGCCACTGACTGAATATGCAGTTTAAATACTGCATGACTAAGCAAGCAATCCACATTCACTTCCTATCAACTTCCCCTATGTTATTCAATCCACTGAAGGGAATTTTTTATCCTTGTACAGTTGCTGCAGGTAGTATATATACACAGTGAACTGAATGTCTGGAACTTTATAGGTTAGTATTCCTGGAGTGTAAAGTGAATGAGCACATTCATGAAATATTCATTCACATGGTTTTGAAATGGCATAAAGCCATGACTGTCCTGCTTTGGATCTTATGCAGAAAAAAACTTCAGAAGGCATAAATCCTAGTGTTTATCTTCAGAAAATCTGGTTGTGGATGAGCATGGTCAATTGTATCTGCCCTTTTGTTATATCTTTGTAGGAGAATATCTATAGTTACAATCCATAATGAATAAACTCTTATTGTGGCCATGGCCATAGATCCCAGAGTTGGGATAGGAACTTTTTGTTTGGAAATGATTTCCTACTAAGGTTCACTAGAGCACAACAAAACATCAGTAATGACATCCTAAGTGGTCTGTTGCTGGGTTAAATTTGTGTTTCGTTGCTATAGAAGCCTTTGTTCTCTCTAGCTGATCCATAAATGCATCTAGAAATAATACTAAGTTTTTGTCTTTTAGAAGAGGCCAGGGGGTAGGAAGGATTAGATTTAGGCAGGTATCTCTGGATTGTTTCATGAAATACTGTAGAACATGTATCTTCTTGCATGAAGTGTTGGTAAGTAGATCCCATTGCAGGAAAGGGAGCAACCAGATGCCTGCTGAATGTCAGCATAATTTTCATCTGTTGCAGACCAAAGGCTGGTGGTATGGGAAATGATGGGGGGGGGGTCACTTTCCTCAATCCAAAGGAAAGAGTAGGAAATGCACAAACAAGTCTCATTCCTGAAGGTGAGGAATGGAAAATAAACAATAGCAATAGCAATCTTCGTAAAAGTTCTCTCCTGCAAAGGGCAAGGGAATAAGGCATTTAAGAATGTATCACAAGTCCTCATTGCTTTGTGATGTATGATGAAACTGCAGAGAGGGCTCCCCCCACAACAGCCTTCATGCACGCTTTAATCTGCTCTTTTGTTTTCAGATCAAACAAGCTTTGTTAACCTGCCACAAAGGACTACGTAGTCTGATGTTCCACTGTGAATATTCCACTGCATTCTTTTTTATGAGTTCACTAAATGACAGTACTATTAGAAGGAAAGAGCACCGTAACAGTGTTTCACAAACAAAAAGGTTATTGCATTGACCTTGCTTATTGCTAAAGAAGGGCGCAGTTATTCACAAGGTTGCTGTTGTGGGGAAAATAGGAAGAAGGACTATTGTGCATGTTTGCTACCTTGAGTTACTTATAAAAATAATCAAGGCATAATATAAATACATAAATGTGGGTCATTTAAAAACAATCTGTTAAAGCAACAATAAACATATAAACATGTACCTGTTCCATCCTGGTTCATCTAATCCAAATCTCTTCTCCATTCCTTGGTGTTCCTCTTGGCTCATCAAATGGGGGTCTTTCAACACCTCCCACCCCAACAAAGTCACTGATGCTTTTCTTTCTGATGATCTTGCCAACCTCTCTCACGTTCCCTCTTAGTCTGCTAGGCACTGTGCCTGCTTCGTGAATACTACCAGCTGTTTCCATTTCTTCCACCATCTCATTGATGTCAACCAAAATGCCTATTCTCTTGTGCCCCTAAGTTGCTGCCCTTCTCTTTTATCGGAAGAAGGGAACTCCTGCCTGGCAGAAGACCAAAATATATGTGTGTGTTGAGAGGGGAGGAACCATTCCTTTCTATTATAGTACTTTTCCACCTTTTGGCAACATTTTGATAGCTAGGGCCATGTTTACAGTATTTTATTTTATTTTATTTTATTTTATTTTATTTTATTATTTTATTTTATTTTATTTTATTTTATTTTATTTATTTATTTTATTTTATTTTATTGATGAGACCAGGCATATAGATAGGTCTGAGTTTTTACACAGATCTGGAAGAGATTTTCAGCAGTGGTGAAATCCAAATTTTTTTAACTACTGGTTCTGTGTGCATGGCTTTGTAGGCATGGTGTGGCTTGGTGGGTGTGGCAGGAGAAGGATTCTGCAAAATCTCCATTCCCATCCCACTCTGGGGTCAGCCAGAGGTAATATTTGCCGGTTCTCTGAACTACTCAAAATTTCCGCTACCAGTTCTCCAGAACCTGTCAGAACCTGCTGGATTTCACCCCTGGTTTGCAGGCAGGTAGATTTATTTCAGTCCATTCTACAGGGATTCTTGATACCACCAAAACATAAAGATTTGAGAGCTTTCTGGGAGGACAGCTCAGCTCTGCTCTGTGAATTTTTTTTCTTTGCTTGCATAGATAATGTACTTGTCAAATGCATGTACTATTAACATACTTAGACTTAATGTGTCTCAAGATACATTCACATAAGCATGCTGTAAAGCCTCTCAAAGGCTGCAGCATACCATGTGCAGTTCACTATAGAGCTCATGTCATTGACTTGATTGCTTTGCCCAATATCCACCATTGCATCTCAAATTTAGTATTTTTTTCCAAGTTACTGAAACTATAATTGAACTAAATGCATTTAATAAACATCCTATCATTTCTCAATCTGTTAAACTAGTTGCTGTTTAATAAAGCATAGAGTCCAGAGCTGGAACATACAAGAAGTACATTCTATTGGGATTTTAAACAATTGTTATACTTACAGCAAAAAAGCACTGATCACCTATAAAAGCATATTTATCCTCATGTTCTCTTTTACAGTGAATAAGGAATGGCCCAGATGGACAGCAATATGTTTACAATATGATTTATATTAGTTATCAAGTTAGCTTTTTAAGATGCAGCTGTTAGGAGCTTCCCAATCTGGCACTTCATAAAAATGTTATTTTTAAAAGATTTTTGATTTCCCATTTATAGATATAGAAAATCTACATTGGTGGTAGTAGGCATAATTCCAGATGTGACATCATCATTGTAACTGAATACAATGGACATGTCACAGCAGAGAATGTCATTACTTTCCACTCTGTCAGTTCCTTCCACTTACCCACCAGTTGTTTCTTTCCTTCCATCATATATTTCTAAGAACTTATTTCATGTGTCAAGTGGAAACACGATAGCAAAGACCAAAGACATTGCAGCATATAAATATGGGTGGATGGTTGTGTTAGGGGTGAATCATCTGTAAAATCTGCCCTTCACTCTTCAGTAAAGCTGAAAAGATAGTAAGGTTCTGTATGCAGTGATAAAATGATAGTAAAATTTAAAGTAGACACAAGTGTGGAAACAAATGTTTCTTTCTCTTTAGAAGAGTTTAGACTCTTGGACTTCAGTAAGGCATTTGACAAAGTAGACTATAACCTACTACTTGATAAAATAGAAAAATGTGGGTTAGACAGCATCACTACCAGATGGATTCGTAACTGGCTGACCAACTGCACTCAACGTGTAGTCCTCAATGGAACTGCATCTAGGACTTCCACTTGGCTCCGCAAGCCTCGAAGACGCTCCTTTACGAGCGCCCGATCCCTGGTTCCGTTAAAGCCCCAGAACAGCTGAAAAACAACTGTCTGGAGGCTTGGAACCCTCTCCCCGGGCAAAGGGGAGAGAGAAGAGCAGATAGGTGGAGGTTGAGCCCCCCCAACCCCCCTAGGAAGGATCCTGGGGCGCGAAGGGTGTGCGCTCCCTAAAAGCTTGTCAAGCTGCTCCGGACCAGGGACGAATCTGCTAATTAGCGGATTTAGAAGCCGAGACCAATCCTGCCGATGGAAATGAGGGGATTTTAACATTCTGAACCAGCAGCAGGCAGAACAAGCAAGGAGAAATCAGACTGCAAGTATCTTTACCTAACTCCGATGTTTGTAGCCTCCTTCGGAAGTAACAATTAGTACTTTGCAACAAAATGGCGATTGAAGCCTGAAGGGGCGGGAGAAAGTGAAAGCCTGAGAAAGTTTCATTTTGCTGGCAGCCCTTTGTCTGAAAAGAATTTTGTACTGATAGAAGGAGGATTTTAAAATGCTAACTAAGACTGGAACTTTTCTTGAGGAACTTTTCTTTCTGGCTTCTGATTAAAATATAAAGAATTTTAAATTGGAAATGGCCTCAAAATCTGTACAGACTGTTCCTATTAAAGGAACAGGAAGTGCTGGTAGCTCCCCAGCTCATATCCCTAGACTGCAAGCCTCTGCCCCTCCAGCAGATCCACAGGCTTTAACGTTGGAGATGTTACAACAAGCCCTCCAAGTTACACAAGAGAAACTTGCTATTTTGATTAATGAAAAAATTAATGAAACCAATGAAAAAATACAGGCTGTGTCAGATGATATTGCAACTCGGAATCAGCAAATTAGGGATGATATTATAAAGACATTTAAATGTTTGGCAGGCAATATTGAAATGGTGGATGATAAAGTTGAAGAAGTTAAACAATCTATGGTAATCTTGGATAATAAATTAGATGAAGCTCAGAACAGAATTCAAAGGGCTGAAGATGATGTAGCTATGATACAATACAGAGATATGGAATTTGCTTTAAGATTTAGAGGGGTGAAGGAGAACAAACAAGAGAACTTGAGAGAAATGATGTCTGAGGCATTGGCACCATTGGTGGGGGAGTCAAAAAACGATCTGGGCTGGCAGATTGACAAGCTGTATCGCGTTAATTCTTGGGTTGCCAGACAGAAACATTTACCAAGAGACATTGTGATATATTTCAATACAAGGAGAGTACGCAATGAAATTCTACAGGCCACTTTTAACAATAAACTTCGGGTTGAAGGCCAGGAAGTGATGACAATGAAAGAAATCCCCCCTAAGATCTTGAGAGCTAGAAGGGAGTATGCATTTCTGGTGGATGAACTGAAAAAACGCCAGATACAGTATAGATGGGAGGTGCCGGCTGGATTGGTGGTGACCTATTCAGGAGAGAGGTATCGGCTTAACACAATATGGAAGGCAAGAGATTTTTATATTAACGTATTAAAGGCTGGCACACCCAAATCACCCAAATCACCAGAGGGCAAAAGAAAGAAGGATGTGATGGAAGGTGAAAAAGAAGAGCTCCTGACAGTAGTTCAGGGGGGAGTTTTGACAGGCCAAGGAGAAGAACCATTACAAATTCAGATGGCTGTTCAAGAGTTGGAATTAATTGATTTATCGCAACCCAAGGATCAAAGACAGACCAGATCGGTGACAGCTAGGTTCAAAGAAGTATCAAGACAGCAACAATTCCAGATGGCAACTCAAGAAACAATTCAAGAATCTACCAAAACAGAAGCAGTGGGAGGAGCAAGACCTAAAGGTCAAATGAGACAAGACCACCAGAATCTGCTCCAGTTGCTTCAAGGGCCAAGAGATGGGAACTAGATTTTTGACTTGGAATGTTAATGGTTTGAATTCTCCACAGAAAAATATTTCATTATCTTAAACACAGAAAAATATTTCATTATCTTAAACAATTTAAAAATGATGTGATTTGTTTACAAGAGACTCATATAAGAGTACAAGACCAAAAATACCTGATAAATGCAAGACTTGGTACACACTACGCAGCAGCAGCAGCAGAAAAGAAAAATGGTATAGTCATATATTTGAAAAGAGACTTAGTTGCTAAATTAATTGAAGCAGATGACCAAGGAAGATTCTTAGCGATAGAACTTTTAGTTAAAGGAAAAAAAATACTTGGAATTGGAGTCTATGCCCCGAACCAACAACAAGAAAATTTCTACAATTTGCTACACTCGAAGTTGACACAATGGGCATTTAAGACTTGCATCCTGTTGGGGGATTGGAATGGTGTCTTGGATATTAAAAAAGATAAGAAGGGACCTAAACAAAATGTTTTAACAAGAGCAAAATTGCCCAAAGCGTTTTGGGAGATGATGGATGATTGGGAGCTGAGGGATATTTGGCGTGAAAGAAATCCGGAAGAAAAAGATTTTACTTTTTTCTCAGACAGACATCAATCCTTTTCAAGGATTGATTTTATTCTAATTACTAATGATCTTTTATCTAGGGTGAAGAACACGAAGATTTGTTCAAGAATATTGACAGACCACAGTCCAGTTTGGTTGGAATTGGAGTGTGGAAAAGGGTCTAGGAGGTCCTGGAGGTTAAATGATAATTTGTTTAGGTATGAAGAAAATGTAAAAGAATGTAAAAAAATTTATGAAAGAATTTTTTGTTATGAATATGCAAAAGGGTACATCTATGGAAATGGTATGGGATGCAAGTAAAGCATATATGCGAGGAATTTTGATATATTTGAATAATAAACATAGAAAGAAACAGGGGGCAAAAAGAAAAGAATTAGAAGATGAGATTAGTAAACAGGAACAGGCTTTAATAGTCAATCCAACAGATAAGAAAATTAAAGAGGCAATCAATTTATTGAAAGGTCAATTTAACATGTT